TACTCCATATTTGGCTGTATGTACGACCCGAGAAGTTGTAGAAAAATAGAAGGGCCGAATCGTCCGGATGCACGCTTCAAGTGACCCACATGTTGGATGCCCCTCCTAGAGGCTGTTTTAGCCTGCTTCGAACATTCAAAGGCGACCTGGACAAAAACGCTCAGATCCTTCTCGCCAGAAGACGTTTGAAGCTCGTGGTTGCCGATTTTTTAGGAGTGTACCAACTTGTGCCATAGGTCAACCACTCTACATTTGTCCACATTGAATCGAAGTAGATTCTGGATTAAACACACGTGTACCCTATCCAATTCAGCTTGTAGTACTGTGATATCATCTGGTGTATTGATCGCCCTCCGCACCTTTATGTCATCGGCATACAGAAGGTATTTCAAGCTTATTAGGCATGTGAATTGTTAATATACGTGCAAAGTAATCGCGATCCTAGTACTGATCCAAGTGGTACTCCGCATTCAACTCGAATGGGATCTGACAGCGATTCACTCACTAGTACTTCTGATCCATCCTAGGAGACCGTCACCAATACCGAACGTCTGGAGCTTATAGAGCAGAATGTTATGGTCTAACCGGTCGAACGCCTTTGAGATATCGAGAAAGACTACATAAACTCCTGTGTCAGAGTCTACTGCTTCAGTCCGGCTGGAACGTGCTAGTAGTAGATTTGTAGTGCACGATGGGTTTCGTCAGAAGCAATGCTGTTCCGGTGCGAGGTAGTTAAATTCTTTTAAGTATGCCGTTGGCGCATCAGAAATAATAGCTTCCATGACCTTTGAAAGAACCGATAGTAAGATTATAAGACGGTATTTGGCGGAATTGGAACTACTACCTCCCTTGTGAATAGGAGTAATCATCCTGTGTTTCCATACGTCGGGCGACTATATTTCCTCAAAACATTGTTGAAAGTATCGAGCCAAGAGCTCAGCTAAACTCTCTCCTATCGTCTCTAGCGATTTCGTGTGTGTATTATCAACTCCAGGAGAGCTGTGCTTACGCATACTCAACAGCATTTTTACTACAGCTTCTGTTGTGAAAGATATGTGAGTGAGTGTTGGGGATAAAACAACCATCGTCATAGCGTTAGGTGGTCAGTGATCGCACTGAAATGTTGCAGCATGTTATAGGCGTAGGGTATTTGCCGCCTCCTTCGTTGCCTGTGTGGGTCCGCCCGCTGTTTGAAGAGGAGAAATTCCCTGTTTCACCTTACGTAGACTGTTGGAGTATTGTTACAGCAGCTTGTAGTTTGAGACCAAATGCACTACCAAGTTTTTCTGGTACACCATTCTATCCTTGCAAACAAGCTGAGTACAGTGGTTACGTTGGGTCATATAAGCCATCCAGTTCTCTGTGCTCATGGAAAGTTTGTAGATGTGCCAGGCTGAGTTTCGCACCGCTGTACACTTCCGTGTCCTGGTTCACAGAACCGAGACCACGTTCCTCTGGCAGAAGGTCTTAGTCGCTGACACTTCCACAACCAAAGAGTTAAACTGCCTAACAAAATGTTCCCATACACTAGCTGGCGGCTCCTCTGCCAGCCTAGTCCAGTTAGCTGTTTCACCTAGTAGAGCTTCTGTAGAAGCTCACAGCTCCCATACAGGGAGAACCGCCAGATTACCTCGTGAATTAAAGACTAAAAGGTTTGAGCAGCGTGGATAAGGCCGAAAAGTATACTGAGGTATTTGGAAATACCAAATAATGTGATAACTGCTGTCCTGGATATATCTTCTGGGGCCGCAGATATTTACTGATGGGCGAGCGCCATGTTTAATTTGCTAATGAGTAACTTGCCAGTTTAAGCTGAACTAATTTGGTGCATGTGAGCGATCGGGTAACTGGACGGTAACTTTGTTGAGTGCCCTGTAGTTACCAAAGGGGCGCTAGTCATCGACTTCCTCGGCGCCATGTGTAATGGTGATGCACTTTGACTTTTGGACGGGCGGCTTATTCCAAATTCGAGCGTTTGCTCAAATTCCGCCTTAGCTGCTTTGAGTTTATCAGGGGCTAGTCTGTAGGGTTGGACCGAAAAAGGTGGACCCTCAGTGCAGAAGTGGTGCATGATACTCCCTCTCCCACTTACCATTTTCCTCTAACTACGACCTCACACGCGATATCTAATCTTATACTTAGTGTTATATTACCCACTGGGTGTCGCCGGTTGGAACCTACGTAAGGGACCTGGTTACCCTCGCAGTATCCTTAGCCCGGGGTCGACTGGTGATGGTTACGTTTGAGCGAAGCGTCTGTACTACGCACCGGCATATTGCTGATGCTTTCATTGGTGTTCATTTTGTATTCTGTAATGCTTGGTATCTCGCCCTTTCATATATCTGATTTTCTGTATTGCAGCACAATCGCTGAGGACTTTTACACCTTTAACTAGCGTGTAATGCGGATGAAGATGCTCGCGGGCCTGACAAACGTATTCAACAAACGTTGTAACATTCTGCTCTAGCACCTAGGTGTATAAGGAGAAGTTACTTTTATTAGGTATTTGCACAACAGAGACAAAGATCGGGAATCACCAGGCCGCTACACAGCCTTCTCCTAGAATGGACTGTTTAATCAGTCCTTCGAGTTAAGTAATGACTATCCGTCGTCATCCAGCTTTCTGCGAAACCAGATCATTACACCGGCTCGTAGAGTCTGGTGTAGACGAAACGCGATGCAGTTTCTGGGGAACACTAATGCCAAGGGATCCTAGCAGGTTCCACCAGAGCTCAACCTACACAGTCGAAATAAGAATTGTGTGAAACTACAGTTTTGTAGGGTAGCGGCAGTTCGACGGGCAATGTTTGTGGAACAAACTGAGAGGTTGGATTCCGTCGCGTACGTTCAACAGAGTTTATACAGTGTGCATAGAAATTAAATGGAAAATGGCAATACGAAAGTGGATGGTCATGGTGGGTGTTAAGACCAAAATGCTCGTATAAAATATTTACTAATGAGTAGAAGAATTTTGGCGAGCATTCTGTGTTTGTCGCAATCGGCCGACAATTCAGCTAGCCCAACTGCCAATCCGGAAAAGTACCAGGCCGCCGCTTCGTCAACGGACGAGCCCTAATAGGGCGAAACGGCCTTCTGGTGCTTTTCCTGGTTGGTAGTTGAGTTATTTGCATTGTTGGCGGATTGCGACGAACTTAATATACTTGCCAAAATCCTTCTACTCATCAGTAATACAAATTCGGCCTTACGGAATTCATAAATGCTATGTCGATTCATAGTCGCTGTAACCGGGAAGTCTTGACGCCGAAAGGCCAACCGCTGTCACCTGCATGACAGGTGCCTTCATGACAGGGGAGAATGGGTCGGGCTATATCGGAGTTAGCTAACAATTCACGATGGTCGACTACCGTCTCCCATTGCTCAGTGGCATAAGCTGCGAGCTAGTTGGCGCAAGCCACTAGCAGTCATGGGTTCGATCCTCGGAAGGGGACCAAAGGGGGCGCACAACTGACGAGCCGCAATGGGGCGAAACGGCCGTATGATGCTTTTCTGGATTGGTATTAGAGTTGTCTGACTTGTCGGCCGATTGCGATGAACTAAACACAAAATATTTGTTGTTTTCGGAACGTTTTGACTTTTTGCTGTTTCAACACATTTTACTTTTTGAAGCTTCTAAAAATGATAATAGAGCTTAAAGTAAAACAAGGCACTCTCTGGACAAAGAGACGAGGCAAATAGACCTGTCCGGTAACAGTCATTCTCGGTTAACTGCCATGTCATAGGAACCTCCCGATATAGGCAGTGTTTAAGCGACTGATAGATACTGATAGCGCTTTCCGTTGCGATTGACGACAAACACTTTATCATTCCGTCAAAGGGTTTAGAATGGTCATTTATATGGTGGGACCAGGCATTGCTTGGCGCCGTCAAATGTTGCGAAAACATGTGTACGAGTTTGTTGCTCCGGTGGCACAAATGCTTTTCTTACGCACACGGGTGTCTGTATCCTTGGAGCAATGCATGCGACACTCCAACTGCATTGCAAAAGTGAGCTAACAGGTGTTGCAATCTGAGCCAGTAGATAAGTAATTTGTTGGTAAGTGCAGTGGTTTAATGGCAAGAAGTTTAGCACGAGATAATTGCAAGCCAGCTTTGAGACTAGTGCACATATCTAACATGACAGTCGTCAACGCCTTTTTTCCTTGAATTGCATTCACTGAGGTGAGGCTGGCTTTGAGCTGATGGTGAAAACCTCTACCATGTCATTCGATTGTAGATAGTAGAATGTAGTCGGGGAATGTAGGCAGCCTAACACTTTGAAGGTCTCTTGGACATGCGTGCTCTCCAACTATGGTCTACTATCTGTCGTCACGCTTGTTGGAAAATTCTACGAAGAGATTAAGTAACTCATGAATTGTGTAACTATCTGCGCAGTGCTAACTTCCACAGCGGAATTGCTTCTGGCCACCTGGTCGTCAGGTGGATCAGGCCGTTGGAAGTTGGAAGTTGGCAGACGACTTTCATTTGTAAGTGGGCGAGCCGTGTTGGATGGCGAGAAACGGCCAGCAGGCGTGGTTACTTGGCGGTTGCCTTTTGACTGTTGGCAGTGCAGACAGGTGCGGGCTCACTGGAAGACGTCTCGATTGACGTTTAGCTCCAAGAAACGCTGCGTGTCGAGTTTGACGGAACCACGAGTATCGGGATGTGATTGGCAGTGGAGTGTATCGAACACAAGACAGCAAAAGCTTGGAGCACTACAGGAGGTGGATACATTTGTGAGGTGTCATGAATGATTCTTCCTTTCGAGTATGGCAAGGGAAAAGAGTAGACGCGGAGGGAACTGGACATGCGAAATTGAACAACTTCTGCATCAATCTGTTGTGTAGCAGTCATTGCTGCTAGATCGATGTTGTAACCATGTGTTATGGAGTTTACTCAAGCTAAGACATCTGCGACAACTTTTTCGTACTTGAGATGTGCCCAATGGATTTATGGATTTATATGTTTAATACGCAAACATATCAGCTATTCTACATAAGTCTATGGTGAGTCCACCACAACGCTGTTCACTTTATCATACAATTGATTTTCACAATAATTTCCATCCTACGGGACTTGTTAAGCAACGCTTTTTTACCCGTAATAAACCATTGTTCCATTGAGACCTATCTTCCTTCGAGAGTAGTTGTCGGCGGATGAACCTAAGGCATAGACAATGATTTTTGAGCAGTAAGGACTGTAAAATCTCCGCCATCGAGTGCGTATCACAAGTAACGAAATGCTAGATATGCTGCCAAAAGTTCTCTTCCAAAAGTGCTGTAATGCATTTCGGCTGGTTACAGTCATTTCGTAAAGAAATCTGAGGGTTGCCAAGAGACAGCGAGGAATGCTGTAAGACTGTTGCGAATGCTTTGGTCGAAGCATCTTTGACAAGTGAAGTGGAGCATTTAGCTCTTGATGTGCCAAAGTGATGTGTATGCAACGGCTTTTCTGCATTCTGCGAATGCTGAGTGAGTAAAATCGGAAAAAGGTAGAGTATGCTGAGTACCACGAAGCAACTCAATTATAGATTGCATTATCTTTTCGGCTTGAAACCGCGTTAGTGGGTAACTATTTCGAGAAGACGTGTAAAGGGCTTGCAAGATGGTGACTCCTTTAACTCTTTAGTTGCGTCTACTTTATTATGAAGGACCCGAAGCCGGATGCAGCAATTTATGAGAAAATTTAACTACCGACGGTTTACTTAGGTCGCAGTCAGCATGGCTAACAACAATTCCCCTTAGAGGTGCTAGCTACTGGGATGTCATCCACATGTGAATACACGAAAGTCTAAGCCGCACGTGAGGTCATCGTAAACTTTTGGAATGTTTGTGCGGTGTTTCTCATAACAAAAGGTATTCAAAACTCAAGGAGTTCAAAAGGTGGGATGACGACTGTCTTAAGAATACCGCATTCCTAGTTAGATTAATTTTACTAAACATTGGCCTACCGCCTAAACAACTATTAAAATTCTGAATGTGCGGAATGGGGTATTTATTGTGGCAGGGGCACTTGCTCAGTTCTCGATAATCACCGCAACGCCGAGGCTCGCTGTTCTTAGTTGGCAGCATATCCAAAAGCGCCTGCGCTGAGGTCAGTTTGGCTGTGCTATCGTTTAATGGGGCTATTGTCTGCACCTGATGAGGCGCGTCAGCTGACCAGCCGACAGTAAAATAAACCCAAAATGGCTCGGTGTAACGCTCCAATAGGCCGACCGTAATATCTGCGATTTCTGGCAACGATTTGTACTTGGCAAGGCATGTGTCCGAAGTTCACGAAGCAACGATCTATCCATACCCAGGTCCCACAGAAAGCGGCCCATTTCCAACGGAAGTGGGGACGGTTTCTTGTTTCCCAGTTGCAAACCAGAGCAAATTTTATTCAAACGAGTTTTTTCCGAAATTATGACACGTTTTATCACTGCCTCCTTCGGAACGTCATATTGATTCATCGTATCGACAGTGATAATCATGTCGTCCAGCTAAACGACAATATCCGTGAGCAAACTGGATAATAAGTTGGTTGGCTTATCCGAATAACGCGCCACACGTTTAGTAACAAATTCTACCTCTAAGATTATGAACCATAAAGCCGTGTCCAATACTATAATTAGAAAAACCATCAAAGTGATTGAATGAACAGTCTGCTCGTCTTCACAATATTTGAAAAAGTATCTCATGTCAACGATTGGGATTATCACTTGATAAAAATGTATGAGAAAAGGCCACAAATAGACAAGAAAAAGTTAGAACACACCAAAAACAGACGAACTTTGTTCCGATTGTCGTAAATAAGTTAGCAGCAAAATGATCCTGATTGGGGCCGCCAATTCAGTGGGAGTAGTCTGCTGGCCATATAGGCTTACTGTGTCCGGTTGGCTTCTGGCGGGTACCATTCCCCATAGTTAAGCTGAAGGCACGGAAGTGACGGGACGCTTGTCTACTGGTGGGTTTCCAGTGGTCCCGTCTACTGACTAGGAATGCCAAGCCGTTGCCACATGTGCTAGCTAGAGGAAGATGTCTGAGTACTGCGCGATGAATCAGCGTGGTAAGGCCTACCGTGACACCGTGAGTGTGTTGCTCATGAACAAGACAAACAACTATAACATGTGGTTGATTGACGAAAATTAAAACGGTCAAAGTTCACTGATCTCACACACATTCCTGTTCGAGGGAAACAAACACTGACCTCACCAGGGTAGGGTGAGGCTGGTCAAAAAATATGTTTGTATAAACTTCATTTCACTCGCCAAATTGTCGAAGCCTCAGCAGACTGAAGCACACGGGGAACTGTTTGTTTGTTAATCACCATGAACGTGGGTTTTGGAACACAGAACAATCAAACTAGTTGGTAGCTTGGGGCTCTTTGCAACCATGTTAGGTGGGATATGTTCCGCAATCCTTGCAGACAGCCTTCTCTCCGTTCGGCCAAGGTACTAACTAACGCAAGTACAATACAATACACGTTTTAACATTCTGCGTAGAACACTTCAATGTACAAGTAGATGTTAGTTTTGTTTAGTGTCTTACATAACATACTCGCGCAAACACGCGAAATCTCCAGACCGCTATGGTGATACCTAAATCTGTTTGGGGATCAACATCTAATGATACGCTGTACGCTATTTCGCACCAAAGCTGCTACTTTGGCTATTGGGGAAACATTCGAATTCATATAATCGAGCTCGGAACACTAATCAACAGAACAAGTATCAACCAGATCAAAAGCTTCGCTGATTTACTGCCAACCTTATAGATGATGTGTCGTCGACATTATTTCTATTGTTACCAGTTTATGGATTTGGGTCTCGCAGCTGACAATTCTGAATGCATCTGCACGAATCACAGTTGCTTAGCTAAACCGAACGAAATTTACTGTTGCAGTAGGCACTGAAATCTTGCTACTTGTTTTCACGAGAAAATACTACGAATGAGTAAGGCTTGTATTCAATGGAGCTGACAAAACATATCCTTTCTGGATCCCATGCGTTGAGTTCCGAGGGTTCCCCGCCGGAAAACACTGCACTCCAATGAAGCATGAACCAATTTTGTGCCCCAACTCACTGTTGTCTTCGTTCACACGTCTATATGTTCTGATATTCTTTAGCTACTTGTGAGTAGTTGAAGTTGAACAGTCATTGTTACCCCTCCTATCAAACCAGACCCCATCTGCTCCACTGCATCCCATATTTGTATCGACCATCTTTTGCTGAATTTCCCAGCTCTTCCAAACTACTTCTCTTAACTGATTACGCTGCGAGGTATCGTGCATTGTTACGTAGTTAAATTTTCGCCCTCAATTTGACTATTTGGAATAGTAGGGCCCACAATGATTATTCGCTTGTCGATTTCCTTCAGTACTTGACTTGTGCTCCTGCTTTATCTCTTCTGCTATTTGTAAGCTCGCTAGCTTAAAACGCTATATCGTGCTTGCTCGCCTTTCCCACCGCTGCTTTATATTGCACTTTGCCATGTCCAGTATTGCAGCCTCCTCCATGTTGCCCTCGTCCAAACGCCCACTTATTAGACGTGTAATCCTGCCAGCTATTTGTCACACCGGTTTCATTATCTGCAGTAGGCCAATGGAAACCACGTGATGGACTATTGCCTTAGTCTCGCGTGTGAAAAACAAACGGTTTATGGACGATCTATAATAATATACCTGTCCTCGAGATGATCTTGGAAGATGTGTTGGAACCGATAGAGTAGTCATTTGAGTTCAGGAGGTTTTTAAATTCATTTGTTCGGTTGGGTAGTTTGATCATTCCTTTCTCACGTGACAAAAGTGTTGTCAGACCAGGTGAATACAGAGTGCCATGATCGGGTGCTTGCGTCGGTGCTGTGGGATCAAATTCGGAAAGTGAAAACCGAACTCCACTCGTGTCAATACAGACTATGGGCTTATTTTCAATGCAGTGCTCGCTAAATGGAACACTTGACTATCAGGTATCTGTGTATTGGGTATCCACCTGTGTCACTGTGGAAAACTGTGACTGTAATGACACCTTGGCTCATTATCTGGGGTGAATTTCGTTATTGCACTGTTCGCTTGTATAATATCCTCGCTCTCACTCTCCAATTGGCATCACTGATTCCCCCTGGTCAGGACGAAGCTCTTCCTGTCACAGGCGAACCATGAACCACAAGACTACCTATATCTAACCGCGATTGTTTCCCAAAACCTCTCCTGAAATCATGACAAACTTGATCGGTTCCCAAGTATCTTCCCAAAGGAATTCAAAACCAACAAATACTACCCGTGTTCGAAACCTGTCAAACTGAAATTTCAGCTGCGAATTGGCGGGGCCTTGAAGCGAACTGGCTGTATCATCACCTTATTCAAACATTGAAATGTCTCAAGACTAACTGTATCCCCAAACTGTCTCACAGTGAAGAAAGACCCCCGGACATGTACGTACACTTTGTAGGATAGCATTTAATGCTTCCAAGGCCCTTTCTGAGACAACGGATATTTACTAATGTCCAAGGGTTTTTTACTAAGCGGACATACGTAGTCGATGCGAGTCGGCTAAGCCTGGATCTACAGTTCGCCATAATGCCTCTCA